TGAATTTGACTGCTCTAGGAACCTATAAATGGAATCATACAGTATTTGTCTTTTTGTGATTGGCTTATTTTACTTAGTGTATAATGCCCTCATGGTTCATCCATGTTGTAGCACGTGTCAGAATTTACTTCCTTTTTGAGGCTGAATAATATTTCATTGTGTGTATAGACCACGTTCTGTTTATCAGTTTATCCATTGGACACTTGGGTTGCTTCCATTTTTTGGCAATTAATAACGCTGCTATGAATATGGGTGTACAGCTATCTGTTCGAGTCCCTGCTTTCAATTCTTTTGGTTATATGCCCAGAAGTGGAATTGCTGGATCATATGGTAATTCTCTGTTTGATTTGTAAAACTTAGAATTACTATATAATTAATTACCAAACCGTTTTCCACAGCAGTTATATACCATTTTATATTCCCACCATCAGTGCATAAGGGTTGCAGTTTCTCTACATCCTCACCAACACTTCTAAGAGTTTTATAGTTATAGGTTTTACATTTAGGTCTTTGGCCCATTTTGAGTTAAATTTGCATATGGTGTAAGGTAAGGGTCCAAGTTTATTCTTTTGCACGTGGATATTCAGTTGTCTTGGCACCATTTGTTGAAGATTGCCATTTTCCAATTGAATGGTTTTGGAATCCTGTTGAAATCAGTTGACCACATATCAGAGTTTATTTCAGGGCTCTCAATTCTATTACATTGGTTTGTATGTTTATCTTTATGCCAGTACCAACACTGTTTTGATCATCATAGCTTTTGATCATCATAATTTTTGAAAGCAGGAAGTATGAGTCCTCCAACTTTTTTCTTCTTTTTCAAGATTGTTTTGACTATTCAGTGTCCCTTGAAATTCCATGTGAATGGCATTGAATCTGTATATTGCCTTGGGTAGTACTGACAACTTAACAGTATTAAGTCTTCCAGTCTGTGAACATGGATGTCTCCCCATGTATTTGCGTCTTCTTTAATTCCTTTCAGTGTTTTGTAGTTCTCAGTGTACAAATCTTTCACCTTCTTGGTTAAGTTTATCCCTAGGTATTTTATTTGTTTTGGTGCTATTTAATTGGAATTGTTTTCTTTTTAGATTGTTCAGTGTTAGTGTATAGAAACACAACTAACTGCTTTTTGTGTGTTGATTTTGTATCCTGCAAATTTGCTGAATTTGTTTATTAGACTCTAACAGTTTTTTTGTGTGGAATCTTTCTACATATAGGTTCATGTCATCTGTGAACAGAGATATTTTTACTTCTTTTCAATTTGGATGCCTTTTTTTCCTTGTCTGATCACTTTGGCTAGAACTTCCATTTCTCTGTTGAATAGAAATGGCAAAAGCAGGGCCGGCTGAGTGGCGCGATGGTTAAGAGCTGGCTTGGGACGCCAGAGGGCCCCGGTTCAGATCCCACATATGAGGGCCAGTGACACTGCCCTCCATAGCTAAGATAGATGCTGAACAACAGTTCAACCTGGAGCTGGGCTGCCGTGAGTCGCTGGCGATGGCGTAGACTGCAGCCCCTGTGGCAGGGGGTTGCCATGGGCTACCATGTGTAGCCAGCTGCCAGCATGAGTGGCCAGCAGCCGCAGTGAGCGGCCGTCCAGAAGCCGGTGACTGATCTGCCTCGCCCGGGAAGAGCGCAATGATGGTGCCAACTTGGGCCAGTGAAGCAACGTCCTCCACAACTAGACTGAAGAACAAAACGACAGCAACTTGTCTGTTCCCCCTCCCCCAAATCCCCAATAAAAATCTTTAAAAAAAAAGAAATGGCAAAAGCAGGCATCCTTGTCTTGTTCTTGATCTTAGAAGAAAAGCTTTCAGTCTTGCACCATTGGGTATGATGTTGGCTGTGGGCTTTTTATATATGACTTTTTTTGAGATAGTTTCCTTTTATTTCTAGTGTGTTTACTGTTATTGAGATGTAATATATATATATTTTTAATTGGGGAATTGGGGGATGGGAACAGATGAGTTGCTGTCGTTTTGTTCTTCAGTCTAGTTGTGGAGGACGTTGCTTCACTGGCTCAAGTTGGCACCATCATTGCGCTCTTCCCGGGCGAGGCAGATCAATTGCCGGCTTCTGGATGGCTGCTCACGGCGGCTGCTGGCTACACACGGTAGCCCATGGCAACCCACTGCAGCAAGGGCTGCAGCCTATGCCGTCGCCGGCAACTCACGGCAGCCCAGCTTCAGGTTGAGCTGTTGTTCAGCATCTTCGCTGTAGAGGGCAGCATCACTGGCCCTCATATGTGGGATCTGAACCAGGGCCCTCTGGCGTCCCAAGCCAACTCTTAACCAACGCGCCACTTGGCCGTCCCGAGATGTAATTTAACATTCTGTACAGTTCACCCATTTAAAGTATAAATTCAGTGTTTTTTAGTGTAATCTCAGGGTTCTTATAGCTTCTTTACCCTCTTTGCTTATCTCAGACTGGTTAGATAATAGTTTTCAAGTTTATGAAGACTTGCTGGAAGGTAGAAGTCTGCATGCATCTTTTTGTAGTTTTAGAACATCTTAGTTTTGGAAAAGACTTAATGTAACCTGGTATTTGAAGAGTTGAGACTGATTCCCCTTGGACACTGACTCAGCTCTGACCGCATATGAGTAAGCAACTTAGGCTCCAGTGGGGTTGCTCCTTGTGTCATTGACACCTGGAGGTAGCATGGCACCCAAATGTGGGTATTAGCCTCCTCTGGCTGCTCTACCCTTAGCCCATCCACTCGGAATCTCAAGTTGAGTCTGGGGTTTGTATAGCTTCCAGGCCATCCACTAGTAAATACTGTCCTACTTATGGGGCAGAGAGTCTCTAGGAAGATATTGAGGGCTAGCTGCCAGAGGTGGGAGAAGCTTCCCCTATGGGAAGGCCTAAGCAACTGGTGTTTTGAGCACATCTGCCTTAGTAGTTCCCCACTTCCATGGAAAGTTGTAGAACCAGAGCACTGTTGCTGGCGGCTAAGCATACCCTTTCTGGGTGATCCTTGACCTCCTCTGTTGCACTAGCCTGAAGCGGTCAAGGGCCACCTAGGAGCACATATGCTCCAAACACAAGCCCTCACCTTAGTATCATGAAACCTGTATGCTAGGAATGGTATCACATGTGGTGTTGGCCAGTGGCCCAGGCCCCTCTGAACAGGGCAAGGTGGTGGGCTGGCACCCAAGTCAGGTAAACCCCTGGCTCTTTTGCACTTACATATGTTGGATTGATGGCAGCAGGGCAGTTGGGGTCATTTGCTGCTTAGTTGGCTAAGGCATTGATGGAATGGAGACCAGCTTTTGGCAGCCTCTACCATGTAAAGTAAGGAAGGTGATTATTTGGGTTGCTGTTTTTCTGGGGGAAATGTGCAGGTTTTAACCTAATGGGAATCTTGCTAGCAGGCTTACACAGCTTCTGCTCCTGATGGTCCTTGAAGGTCCCCTTCTGCAGGAGGTAGCAGGCAGTTTGTGAGTCTCCAGGTCCTTTGCCCCATGGAAGTCTGTTCCTTTTCCTTTTCTCCTTTCCCTTCTCTCCCCTTTCCTTTAACCCCTGCAGGCCAAGTTACCAGGTGTTGGTCAGTGACTTTTTCTGGCTCTTGCCCACCATAATGGGGATAGCTGGTTTCAGAGGAAGGTGGTTGGGTCAGAGCCGTTTCTCTCAGCCTGATGCTTTATTTGGGTGGTAGAGGCTGCTCCCCTAAGACCCAGTGGCACAGCCAACCAGAGAAGGGCAAAGGGGCATTTACTGCAAAGGTGAGGGACTTGCAAGGACAGGAGTCCCATGTTTGGGGACTCTGGTGGTGTTAGGAAATATAAGTGCATGGAGCATACTAGGAGAGGGAAGAAATAGTTGAGGATGGGGAAATGTATATGGAAGGGTTCCTTGCAGAATTACTTATGATAGAAAATAATCGAAATGTAAATGTATAGCCACTTGGAAATGGTCAAAATAAGGCAACCTTATGTCATTGCTTTAAAAAGCACTTTTTATTGTGGTAAAATATATATAACATAACTTACTATTTTAACCATTTTTAAGTGTATAATTCAATGGTCTTAAGTGCATTTACATGGTTATGCAACCATAAAGTTATACCTCAGCCCTCTTTTGGTTGTTTGTTTGTTTTTTCAGTATTCTGAGCTCCTCAACTACCTGTTGACACACACATGTGGTTAATATCAGGCATCGTGTGGGTTTCTACTGTTTCACTCTTAGAAGATGATGACTTGTTTCTCTTATTTCTAAGTTCTTGGGGAAATACCTCACAATTTCTTTATACACTACAAACATTTAGACTATAAAAAAACCTGTTCATTTCCTTTTTGGCCTGCCCTCTCCTGAGTGTCACTGAGACATCTTTGGCAGAGTTGGTCAGTATGGGCCCCACCTTGCTGTGGGTGACTTAGTTGTTTAGGCACCTGGGGTGGAAGGAGTGACGGGGTGGGTCTCAGAGGCCTCACACACCACCATCCCCCCTGGAGCTTTGGATTGTTGGGGAGGCCAGCGGTGATGTATGGGGCAAGGGTAATGAGTTTTGAGACACCCAGAGAAGAAGTTTGTGTGAGAGGTCTTGACAGTGCTGCAGAGATCCAACCTGGCTGTCCTTTTTCCATGTCCTGGTCCTTGCTGCAGAGTAGTTTGTCCTGTGGGATTGATCTTGCATTGCTCTGCCAAGTACTTCCTAGGATTGAGCTACTTACTTTAGGCACTTTCTGGGAATAGATGCTGCTGCCTTAGCTGGAGCCAGAAATCAAGGAACTTGGAAACATTGTTTTCAGGAAACTTTCCTTTGAAACTGAAGCCAGTGGTTCCTGGTTACAGATACTACTGTTTCTTCAGCTGCGTAAGGCAATGAGATGATTTCCATTGGAAAATCAAAATGTAAAGGTTCTCCAACAACCACTAGTATTTAAAAGAGTCTCTCCATTCATTGTTTTTCCTGTTTTTCTGTTTCTTACCAAGAAATATTTGAGAAGGGAAATGCATAATCATTTGCTAATCAAAATTTTTGTGTGTGTGCTTTTTTGAAGGTACATGGGAATAGGACTCTCAGCTCAAGGAGTCAACATGAACAGACTTCCTGGTGAGTGACTGGTTAAGAAAACATTTGTTCTACTCTCCTGATTCATTCTGTAATGAGAGTCATGGCGGCAGCCAGGAGGCTAGAGAGGACTTTGTTTGCAAGCTAAGCCATTGGGCAGAGGATCCTAAAAGGTGGCCATTGGGCTGGGATGATATGGGCTTCCATTCCAACAATTAATTGGTGAGCGATTGTCATTCATGGAATTTGAACTGTTTGCAGTCAAAACCAAGTGACCTGAACTTGCTCCCCGTGGGGACACACCTCAGTAGCCTTCGCTCCCGTTGGCCTTTATTTGACCAGCCTGGGACTCAGGCATATACGGGGTGGAAGGCTATTGCCAGCCCTGGCTCCTTTGTTACTTCACCATGTTAAAGGTCGCAGTCTTTGACCTCCCAAGTGAACATGGTTGAGGCAATTTATTAATAAATGGGAGGATGTGCATGAGAGTTGGGTTGACAGCAGCCTCAGATTTGTGGAATGCTCTGGGCCCTGCAGATAGGTTTCCTTTACCACCCAGGCACCCTTTCAGCTGTTTTCTGCCCGGTGGTTCGTGCCCAGTCCTGACAGAAGACCCCATCAGAAGCTGGTGGGTCCCAGAAGGTAGTCCTAAGTCCATTTGTCTCTTAGTGGCAGAAGTGACATGGTTCAAGCTGCCCTGACACCATCATGGAGGCAGGCAAAGTCCCTGTGTTTTTGCCCTTCCCCTCGCTACTCTTTGTGTCTGTGACACAGAGAAGGCAGCTGGCTTTTTTCAAAGAGGAAGCAGCTTTTCCAGCTTTTCCAGTCTGTTTAATATCAATTGCAGACTTTTTTCTAATGGACTAATTTCAAATACTTGAAATCTACTTGCTCAGGATTCAACTAATTGTCAGGAACCTAGCTTTTATTTTTTTAACTTTGATCTGAGTGAAAACTGGCTTTTTGTTATTAATAAGAATGTGTGTGTGGCATGTTTGGTCTCTGTGTAGCATGTGGCTGTGTCTTTATTATGTAAGCCCCTGGCCTTGGCTAACTAGTTGTGTCTACAGTGTCCATAGCTCTGCCTCTTAGTGAATAAGGAGCTTGGAAAAACAATTTCCCATCAAGGGTAAACTGATTCTTTTTTTTTAAAAGATTTTTATTGGGGAATTGGGGGGATGGGAGCAGTGCTGGGGAATTGGGGGAAGGGGAACAGACAAGTTGCTGTCATTTTGTTCTTCAGTCTAGTTGTGGAGGACGTTGCTTCACTGGCCCAAGTTGGCACCATCATTGCGCTCTTCCCGGGCGAGGCAGATCAGTCGCTGGCTTCTGGACGGCCGCTTGCTGCGGCTGCTGGCCACTCACGCTGGCTGCTGGCTACATACGGTAGCCCATGGCAACCCACTGCCACAGGGGCTGCAGCCGACGCCGTTGCCGGCGACTCCCGGCAGCCCAGCTCCAGGTTGAGCTGTTGTTCAGCATCTTAGCTGTGGAGGGCAGTGTCACTGGCCCTCATATGTGGGGTCCGAAACGGGGCCCTCTGGTGTCCCAAGCCAGTTCTTAACCATCACGCCACTCGGCCAGCCCAAGGGTAAACCGATTCTTAATCTTTCTCTTGCTCTAAATGTGCTCTTTGAACTTTTGCATGCTTTGGTGATGGAGAAAAGAGGCTCTTAAAGGCTTATTCAAAAATAACTATCAACTGTTATTGGATGGCACTTTAAGCAACCCTGAACATTAGTTAAATACATTTTTTGTTAATTTTCATAATGGAATACTATGCAGCCATAAAAAATGAGGACGTTCTTTCGATACTGATTTGGAGTAATCTCTAGGATGTATTGTTAAGTGAAAAATATAATGCATATAACAGTGTAAAATATACTATCAAATGTGCAAAAAAAAAAGAGGGAAAACAAACATACGTATCTGCTTGTACATACATAGATAGAATATCTTTGTAAAGCTACTGAAAATTTGTAATGCTGTCTGTCTCTTAGGAAGGGACAGGGTGGCTGGGGACAGGACAGGAAAGTGAAAATATTTTCACTTTGAAGCTTTCAATTTTTTTTTCTTGTGAATATATTATCTGGTTTTTTTGTTTTGTTTTTTTAAAGATTTATTGAGGAATTGGAGGGGAACAGCGTTGGGAAATTGGGGAAGGGGAACAGACACGTTGCTGTCCTTTTGTTCTTCAGTCTAGTTGTGGAAGACATCGCTTCACTGGCCCACGTTGGTATTATGATCATTGCGCTCTTCCCAGGTGAGGCAGATGGGTTGCCGGCCACTGGACGGCTGCTCACAGCAGCTCTTGGCAGCTCACGCCAGCTGCCAGCCACTCACATAGCTTTATGGCAGCCTGCTGCAGCCTATGCCGCCAGCAACTTACAGCAGCCCATCTCCAGGTTGAGCTGTTGTTCACCATCATAGCTGTAGAGGACGCAGCGTCACTGGCCCGCATGTGGGATCCGAACCCGGGCCCTGCTGCTCAGAGCTGGCATTCCAAGCCAGCTTTTAATCAACGTGCCACTTGGCTGGCCCTATATCATCTGTTCTAAAAATATAAATAAAATTAAGACAAAATAGACAAAAGCAAATTCTACTGCATCAAGAAGCCCTCACACCTGTCTTTCAGGTGGTCTTGGAATGCACCCTTTATCAAATATGCTAAGCTTGGTGTTCTGAGTTCCACATGCTCATTCTTCTTTAGTAAAAACTGTTTTTGCATGACCCATTGGGTTTGGGATCCATGGAGTGGAGCAGATGAGGTGGGGGTGGTTCAAGATTCAGGGTGACCGGAATCTCTTTGAGACAGAGCCATGTGGAGACAGAGCCAGCCTACTTGTCTTATTTATAAGATGGAGCTTTTGACCCCTCTGGGATGGTTGGAGGCCAGCTGCTGCTCATGCGTTTTTGACATTGTTAATGTACTATTGTGCGGCAATCCACTTGGCCCCGGTGAAGTCAGACCCTGCCCAGGCACAGGGGGTGGGCCTATAGGGAGAAGGGGCTTGGAGACTGTGGATGAAGTGTTAGTTCCCACACTAGCACATCAGGAGAGTTGGCACCTTTTTTACATCCTCACTGGTGCATCTCTTTTTTGGCAAGAGAAAGGGGCCTCCGTGTTCTGTGGATATTGCACCTGTCTTCATTTTCATTCTGCTTGCCAGCTCTGGAGGGTTTTCCTTCCTGCCATATCTGATCATCTCCCCGATTATTCCTTAAAGTGGAAAGCACGAGTCAGATTGCATCTAGATAGGGATTCTCCCTAGGAAGGATAGATACCTATGGCTTTCCCAGGGTACAGGGCTGGCTGAGTGGCTGGGCAGACCTATCACAGGACAGATGTAGGGATAGAAGGGGGGCATCCCTCTCAGGACTGAGGGTGGGCCTGCCACTGTTCATCCCAGTGCTGGATTTGGAAGCTTGGTACTTTCCATTTTCTGAACTCACTGTTTTTTGGGTTTTTTTTGGTAATGAGAGGCATTCAGTCTCCAAAACTGAAAGTCTCATCATTCATAAACACTTGGGACCTGAAACTTCTTGCATATATTGGGTTGTTGGAAAAGTCAGGATGCATTTTTGCAATGAAAAACATAGGAAAAATACATCATGACTTTTCCACAACCCAATATTTCAGTGGGGAAGAGGTGTTTTGTAGTAAGTTTTGAAATCTGGAAGCGTGAGTTTTCCAACTTTTTTTCTTCTTTTTTAGGAATGTACTGGCTATTCTGGATCTTTGGCAATTCCATATGAATTTTAGAATTAGCTTGTCAATTCCTATAAAGAAGTCAGCTGGGATTTTCATAGGGATTGCATTGAATCTGTAAATTAGTTTGGGAAGTACTACCATCTTAATGATATTAAATCTTTTGATACACAAGCATGGAATGTTTTTTGATTTGTTTAGATCTTCTTTAATTTCTTTCAAGAATATTTTGGGGCTGGCTGAATAACTCAGTTGGTTAAGAGCTTGCTCAAGAGTGCGAGCTCTGAGCAACAGCGGTTCGATTCCCGGCCCGAGCTAAGTTGCCGCTGAGCTACCAACAGGTGGCAGGATGGCTCAGCTAAAAAAAAATTTTTTTTAAAAGTATTTTGTAGTTTTCAGAGCATAAGTTTTGCATTTCTTTTGTCAAATTTTTAGGTTCTTTGCTAGTGTAGAAAATATAATTGATTTTTTTATATTGATCTTGTATTATAATCCTTTATGTTGCATAATTCAGTTTGCTAGTATTTTGCTGATGATTTTTGTTTCTACTTTTATTTTCTTTGTCCTTCTTTCCTTCGGCTTATTAATTTATTTCCCTCTATACCCTAGGTATAGTTAAGTTATCGTATTTTACTTTTCTTACTATTAAAGGTAGGTATTTATTGTTAGACATTTTTCTAAGTACTAAACAAATTTTGATATGCTGTTTTTGTTTTTAATTTTAAATTATTACATTCTTTAGTCTTAATTTTCTTCCAGACCTAGGTTACATTCAAGAGAGTACAGTGCTCTGTAATTTTTATATGATTGCGCACTTTTTAATTATACATTTATTTGGCTGAGCCTGTCTTTATTTCATCACGATCAGGAATATAATGTGGGCTGCCTTTTAAAAAAATGTGCTTAGTACTGATTTATACACCAGCACAATCAGGTTTTGTGAAATATGTAGGTAGAGTTTGTTCCTGATCTATCATATAGTTTTCTATACATTTGTTTTTTTTCTTATTCCTTTACATATCTGTATATTTTATAGATTTGTTACCAGGGGGCAAAAAGAATTTGGAAATGATATACTGGGCCAAGGGTTTTGGGTTGGAGGGTATGAGCAGCTGTGGGCCTCATGGCTGGTGCTGGGTGGGGAGACGGTGAGGTGTTATGGAGAGCCACTGAGAGGTTTAAGCATTGGTTTGACCTGCTGAGGTGGTATCTTCAAGTAGAATGATGGGGAGGAGAGGAGAGGATTGAGTCCTGTGGGAGGTAATTCAGCTGGGCTTGGTGTCTTCAGAGTAGTGGGTGATTGGACTGCAAGCTACTGGTGGTGTGTTCCCAG